TCGACCTTGAATATATTGATCTTAACAGAGAAGCGAAATTAATTTCGAAATAACCTAAAAGATTGAACCTCCGTGATATTATATTCATTTATCCGAGGAAAGACTACTTGCTCATCGCCCTGCTCTAGGTTTTGCATGTGTCAACATCCCAGGTAACTTAAAACTTCATCCCAATTTTGCTTTTTTATTTAATTAGACATCCCATTTCCCTTTACGCAACTTGAAAGCAAGTTAATTTAGGCTCAGAATTAAAAGTCGCTCCCACAGACAACCTTAAAGAAGATACTGCGAAAATTCCATTTTACGATTGAAAAGTCGTATTGGCAAACAATTGTTTTCGGTCATTCATTACCAGGCCGGTACATGACATGGGCAATAAAATGGTCAGTTAATTGCAGCGTTTGTATAATCATCAGGTTGGGGGGGGAAGGCGGTTAGTATGTGGGTGAGTGTAATTAAGCGTCTGAGTTTTCCCTCGTCTCCTGTATGCGGGCGCCCGTGCGGGTCGGACGTTGGTTGCGATGCGCAGAGAAGACAGGGGGACGTTCTCACGGTCATCGGGTATAGGTCTGTATTCCAGCCGCGTAGCTTGCGTTTTTTGAGTTCGTGTAACACCCAGGGATCTATGGAGCTTCGCGGCTGGAATACAGACCGCTACCCGATGACCGCGAGAACATCCCCCTGTCTTCTCTGCGAATCGCAACCAACGTCCCACCTGCACGTCAGGGGACGAGGGAAGACCCAGATGCTTAATTACACTCACCCACATACTAACCCCTTCCTCCCCCCCCCCAACCGGACGATTATATAAACGCTGCAATTAACTGACCATTTTATTCCCCATGTCATGTACCGGCCTGATAATGAATGACCGAAAACAATTGCTTGCCAATACGACTTTTCAACCTTAAAGAAGAGTTTAGGGTATTTAGCCTGGTATTTACTTATAACATGAGTATTCTTAAATGAGTTCCTTTTGTTTTAAATGTCACCAACGAACGCAGCGATGTGCAAGATATTAAGCTATCGTAACAGGTTTCAGTAAGGAGTACTAGCATATCCAAAGGTATACATTTCTATCTACTGCATAAAGGAATAATGATATCTATCTCATTGCTCGGAAACCTCGTTATGTTC